GTAGGGTCTAGAACCGATTAACCGCGATAAACGAGGGTTCACTGTATATGTACATAGATCTATTTCCCCATCATATATATATTTACATATGTGCATGCCTGTATTTAGACCTCTATAAAAGTCCTTTGCCTCCTAGTTATTTCCTTTATCTTTCCTCTTGTGCCACTATCATGTTCAGTCTTCATTTGGGTTTTGGTAATTCATCTCAGCTACACTGTCCTGGTGATTAAGCCCCACAAGGCATCCTATGCCCTCCTCACCATTAATTTTAGCTCACTTGTTGTTCCCTTCTCCATGGGTTGGTTTACAGTCCCCCTTCCATTCCATCTCTCCCATATATCCCCGTCGCCACCACCACCAAAGGAACTGTGGGTCCCACTGTTTCCTCCTCGGGATTGTTTATCTCACCTATCTTATCTAGATAGACATGTAGAGACAATAATAAGCAAAAAAGACAGAGCAAAACAAAGCAACAATAACACAAACAATGACAAGAAAAGCCTATAAACAGTTCCAGGTCTGTTTATTGATCTTTAGAAGTGCTTACCGGTCGAGTCTGATGGCTTGCCACTCCCTGCCCCAAAGTCTATTTTTGGTATTTCCCGGGGAATTCATTGCTTTGCTCCCCTTGCTGCTCTGTTGCATGCCCTTAAGTGTTTCAGCCCATTGTGGTCGGATCAAATTGAGCACAATTCCCACACTGTGTCTCCAGTATTGTCCCCCATAGCGCTATTAGTGAGGGGCAGTGTGTCTCGTGGTGGGCCGGCCCTAGGGTCCTTTCAGTGCATTGGCTACTTTGAACGAGAATATTGGCTTTGGGGCTTGGTGGTCCAGGATGTGTTCCATTCTCTCCCCTTCCCTTTTAGTTAGCTTTCAGTGTGCTTTGATCAAACCTGCCTCCCTCCCGGAGCTGTAGCTTCAGTCCTGTTCTCTGAAGTGCATTCTTCTGGGATGATAATCTTTCTTATGTTTGCTGATGAAGAAAGTAAAATTTCTAAAGAAATGTTTACATAGATGCACTAGAATTTAAAATGTGTTATTAATATTGACACCATTTCCATTTTAATTACAATGAATAGCAATAGTAGGGGTAAAAACCAGCTTCCCTCCGGTATCACTCTATCACAAAAATTTAGCAAGTATATTGCTTCTATTTAATTTGAAATACCTTGGTCATCATCCTCACCACCATCAGCATCCATAGCATTTTCATCTTCATCTTCATCATCATAATTATAATTTGGGTCATAGGTAAGATATTTGAGACAAATATTTATAATGGTAGAAACATGAGGATACACTTCCTTAGGACATCTAAGGGGAAAAAAACGGAATTACTGTACGTACTTTCCCCCCTTAATTTCCTATCTGCCACATTTTGCTTTAACCAGATTTTCTTTGCTTTAACACAATGTCAAGCTTAACCTCTCCCACACTCATAGACTTTATGTTTTTAAATTTATCTTTCAAATTATGTTTCATCAACTTTTTCATATTAACATCTCTGATATTTAGGACAATTTTTAAATCAAATGAGGAATTTCACAGTTAATGAGGGATATCTAGTTCTTCAATGTGTGAATAACAGCTCAAGCCCAGATGAACTTGTTTTTCAGCAACTGGGATCATTTGTGACAATGAATGCAAAGTGTGCATTCATCTGGGTTTGTCGTCTAGTTACATACTGAGAAAATAGAAGATACAAACGCCCAATTGGCAAGCAAATCAATAATTTCCGGTTTAACAAGTTGATGTGATGATTGTAAGGCCATGTCTAAAAGATAAGAGTGATGAGACTGCTGCAGGTTAATAGCCAGAGAGCTCTCAAGACCCTGTGTTAGCATATACTGTCAATTCTGGCCAAAGACAAAATATCTGGCCTTCTGGTGTGTAAATGTGCAATTTTTATTTAGCTTTTCAAAAAGTATTAGAACCAAGATTTCCAAGTAAAGAACGACTGTCTTAGCCATCTGAATGACTCAGTAAAGCAAACCTGTAATCTAGTGAAAAGAATTAAATTCACCGTGTGTTTCTGGACAATTTACCCTGCCTCTCTCTTAGAACAGAGACTATATTATTATACTGGCATCTCTTCTAATAAAGCTAAATAAATCAAACCAAAGATAATTCTAAATATTTCCCTTAGGTTCTTTAATAATGTCTTAAGAATGAGAAGAAAACACGTTCAAAATAAACCTTAGGACTGCTTTTTAAAAAGACAGTACTCACACTTAGTCTACTACATTGGTTTTATCAGTCACTGTGTTGCTTGAGAAACAAATTAAAACAAATGTTTAAAGATTAAAACACCGGTAGAATATCTCATTTCTCCTCACAAACTTAACAAGATCTGAATTATTTTTCTATTCTTCAGGAAAAAATTAAACAGAAATCTTAAAAACTTACCTTCTCACAAATGATTCAAAGGCTTGAATACAGTACTCTCTTAATTCATCATCATCTACATTACAAAATTTTACCACCAAAGGAATTATCTTCTCAAGGTATTCACCTAAGAAAAGCATATTGATTCTCAAATTCAAACAGTAATGGTGTTTTAAATTAAGAAAACTTTAAAACATTTTAAACATTTCTTACCTATTCTATGACCGGCTTGCCTACTAATAGCAGCTATACATTGAATGTAGGTTCTTGTTGTTGACATGGAATCATTTTTGGACAGCTCTGACAATAGATGTTCAATGAGATCTACAAAAACTATATTTCCACAGCTCATAACTAGGTGGCCAAGAGCAATAATGGTTCTTTTCCTCACTGCAAGTCGCGGACTGGTCAACTGGGGGAGTAGACAGGTCAAAATTGAAGGATGGAAATTAACAAGAAGTCCTCCTTGCCTTGAAAGAAAGAAAACAACAAATGAATTCAAGATGTCGGAGCACTATTGAAACACCTGGCCTCTGATGCAACTGATGTGAATATTCAGCATTATAACTTTAGATTAGAGTAGACCAAATTCAGAACGAAACACTGAACTTTCGCTGGCTCTAAAAATGCAACTACCAGCATGAGCTAAGTAAAGCAGCTTCTAAATTTCTATCCCCTAAATACCTGCTGGATTTAGACTGACAGTCCCAATTGTATGGTAATTTCCAACAAATGGCTTGGGCCTATATTGCAAACATACTATTATCAGATTTTTCCCTTCCCAGATCTGAAATTGTTTTTATTGATTATATGTATATAGGGAAGGTCACAACTCAAAATATTATTAGCATCTTGACTCTTCCCTGTCCCTCTCTATATACCATTTCACTATGACTGCTGGCCTAATGCCCCTCTCTTCCAATAATCCCATGTTCTACAATGGTGTTAGTGATAAAATCGTCCATCAAAGTCTTGCTGGATTTTCACTACTAACTTAAGCATAAATTCATAGCCCAGTCCAACATGACCCTAATCGGGGTGTTTTCCTACTATTCTATTTATACTATGTTCTGGAAAACAAGAATACAAAATTACTTAAGCTATGTATTCTATGCCTGCACATAGCTACATACAGCATTCAATTCAAAGACTATACTTCCCATCAAAACGTCCCTGATTCGTAACATTAAGATTCACCATCTTAAAATGCAAAATGCACTATATTCCTCACAATCCCAGTCAGTTCTGACTCAGTGACCCCAGAGGACAAAGTGTAACTGTCCCTGTGGGCTTCCAAGACGAAATCTTTACAGGAGTGGAGAGGCTCCTCTTTCTCCCAAGGAGCAGCTGGTAGTTAGTCCAACACGCCAACTATTCCAGGGCATTCTGTCTTTTACTCCAGCAATTGTGTCTTCTTATGTCTTATACTAAATTATAAACTCATTGTATGCCAGATAGCTTCTCCTTTATTTTGTGAGGTGGCTTTCAGAAAGTTTATGAAAAAATGAAAAGAAAATAGACTTTCCCCATGAACTTTTCAACACTCCCTTGTATGTCACATCAAAGTATTTGATAATTTTCAACTTGAACTGGGTAGCTAAAAGAAACAAACAACACATGTATAAACCAAGCTCCTTCCTCCCCAGATCCTAGTTACCAGCATGGGTTTGACCGAAAGATTTGCTGCTCTCACTAGGTATTTAATTAGATCATCACACTAAAATATGAGTAATAATTCAAAGCATGGCAATTGTGGAGCACTATACAAACATATTTGCTATGCAGTATTACAAGATAATTAATGATTTTCTTACCCCCCACCCCCAACCACACACATTTATAAAAGTCACAATTTAAAATATAATTTATCATACATACAGACTTGTAATAAATACACATACTTATTACTAATAATGCAAACAGTAAGTACACCTACCTGCTCAACATATCAGCCATAATATCCAAGGCTTCCAGCTGAACAGAAACATCTTCCTGCTTGGCTATTGCACTGGTAAGACGTCCAGTAATCTTTTTACATACATTAGCAGCTAATGCAGAGCCTGTGCAAATACAAAATCAAGTCATAGTTTCAAGTAAGCATATTCTATACTTTATATTAACGGGAGTTACCAAATATTCAACAATTCTAAGTCTGGCAGATCTGTGCCAAAATAATATCAAAAGGTCACTTTTAATAATATAACCAGATATGAACAAGAACTAGAGATAATATAGCAACAAAACAAGCATACGACACATACTTAATAGGTTCTACTGAACTTTTTTTTTAATGTACTGCCATGATTACTAGCCAAAGAGCCAGCAGTTAACTATTTGGATTTGCACCTCAAGCTCAAATATCAGTAACAAATTTTTTCCCCTACTAGTCCTCTATTTTAATATTTGAAGTTAATCTGACTCAAGGCAACTGCGTGTGTTTCAGAGAACTGCTGCACAGATTTTTCAGTGGTTGTCATCTTTCAGAAACAGACCAACTTCCAGACCTTTCTTCCGGGTAGATGCAACCACTAACCTTTGTTAGCGGTCACCCACTGTCTGTCACAGAGACTTTCGTTTTAAGTTTTATTAGCACATAATCCACACATGATACAATTCATAGCTCCATCATATAAAGTACAGTTGTACATTCACCACCATAATCAATTTCAGAACATTTCGCTTTCTTGTACTCACTGTTAATAGCTCCCTACCCCTTTCCCATACCCCCAAGAAGCTATTAATCCAGTTACTGTCTCTATAGATTTCATATACAGGAAAACATAGAAAACACTAACAGCAATAACAAAGTAAAATAAAGGAAAAGCCTCAATTGAAAAGAAAGCAGAAAATGTTTAAAAACTTGAACAAATTTAAAATGGGTCGAAAGGGAGATCAAATGTTAGTGTTAAATTTAAACCTAACTCCATGTTACACTGCTGTCTGCTAATAAAGCTATTCACATCCTTCTACTAAGAGGGGATTCACCAAAGGCTTGATCCAAGCAAAGCAGGGAGCCTGCACATGGATTCTGGCCTCCCAATTGTCATCCATAGTCATTCACAAGCTGATATGATACCACCCTTCTCCTTTTGTTTTGGATTTTATTTACAATCCTTGGGTCACAGAGAGGTTGGTATGCGTCTTCAGAATAGACTTAGTTGATACCTTAACTTAGATGGATACTTGTTAGAAGATAAACCATTAAGACCCCAGGTACAATGATTTTTGATGGTCGGGCACCATCTAGTTTCTTTGCCATATTGTGCTACTGTACTATATTCAGTGGTCTCTTGATTAGGGCAAGTGTCAAGAAAGGCCGTGTCAAAAGAACTAATTGTTCATAGATTAGGGCTAGAATTAACTATGAACCCAAAATCCATTTACATATGAGACTTCTTTATATATTACTTAGAACACACAACCACAAACAATTCAAGTTCCAGTGCTTAATTTTACAATATGATTATATCTAACCATGATTTACAACACAACATGACTTCATTTATACATATTCTGCTTTTAAGTTTAGTTCTGGCTTGAAATAACCAACTGCTTACCAGATTTTATAAAGATGAAAAGCTGAATATGTAGTCCCAATAAACTCTAAAAAGGCTCTTTTCAACCCAAAGATTTCATAAACTCATTAAAAGACAGAACTGTTATTTCAAACGATTCACAAATCACGGTTATTGCGATAGATAGGCTACGCATTACAATATACTAAAGTTACAAGAACCGTTCTTTTATGGAGTTATGCCTTATGCTTAGTTATGTACTAAATACAAGTGTTAAGGTATAATTTGTTGATGTCATGATTTGTCTTTTTTGGGTAGAAACATTACATATGAACTTACAAATCAGTTTTATAGACACATAATAAAAGGAAAAAAATGAAAGCTTAAAAAAAAAAAAGGAGGCATTCAGTGCACATCAGAATCGATTGGTAACAGCACTGCCAGAAGGTATCCCCACAGTGAGTTGTGGACCACCTGTATTGTAAAGTGACAAAGAAATGCTGAGAATAAGTCTGAATGGTTAAAAGAAGTTTTAGAAACAAAATCCACCTACTAAATGTAAACAGATTTCAATGAGAGGAAAATAAGGAGCTATAAATATAACTAAATCAAACCATACTTTGCCAAAATACTTTTTAAACTTCTTACTGTGGTTTGAAAAATTTACTAAGCAAACTGGTTTTTTATTCAAGAATTCATACATATTTTGTTTCATGACCCTGATTGCAATCCCCAAATAATTATTTACTAAATATAAAACAACAATGCTTTGATAGTATGGAAAAAGCACAAAAATTTAACTTAAAAAATTATGTCAATAAAAATGTTAAAAATAGTTATAAAGGATTAAAGTTTCACCCAACTAGGCACCTAAAATTTAGAGTGAATTATCTAACCTCTCAAACTGGAGATTCCTCATCTATAAACCAGTTACCTCTCATATAGTTGACGCTCAGGCAAAATAAAATAATATACATAAAGCAACTAAAATAATAATTGGCATTGAAAAAACACTATGAAGCATCATTACTCATACTGACCCCATGGGACAAGGTGGCCTTACGAATTCCAAGGCAATAAACATTACAGGAGCAGACTGCCACATCTTTTATCCATGGCAATGGACTGGTGGTTTGAACCCTCAACCTTTAAGTGAGTAGGCAAGAGCTTTGCTACGCCCGAGCCACTAGGCCTCCTTATAATCAGCATAAAAAACAAGAAACCAATCGCACTGACATTAAGACAGTGTGGACTCACAGCAACCCTGGGTACCCTACAGAGCAGAGAGAGCGGCTCCTGTGAGTTTCTGCGTTTCTAACTTTGTATCGGAGTAGAAAGAACCTGTAGAGGGGCTGTTGGCTTTGAACTGCTGACACGGCAATTAGCAGCCCAGTAAGTAACCACTATGCCAACAGGGCTCAGGAACTACTAGATACCTGTTAATAAAATAAATGAATTCAAGCAATATACCTCTATTACACTATTACCAATCTAAATTTCCCACCCAGAAGAAAGATAATTTCACCTCATTTTCAGATGAGGCAGTATCTTTTACTGAGACATCTTTTAGCCAATAAGCTTAGTAGTCAAGACCAATTCTAAAATTTACCACATAAACTAAAGACATTTCTGTAAATGGCCAAATGCTAATTAACTGACAAATTCATTAATTATAGTTTGTTTTGTTTTTTAATTACAGAGTTTAACAGCAAAAGGCTCACTCTTATTCAAAACTACCAGTAAATTGAATTATCCAGAATCAGAATTCTGGTTCTACTATGTTAAGTTTTATAGAATAAATTCTGATACAAAAGAAAATAGAAAAAACTGAAAACAGATAATCTGACACAACTGGTGGTTTTGTTTATTCATTATCTGGGTAGATGACTGCAATTTTAGGCTGTAGTCATGGTACATAAAACAACATAAAAAAGCTCCAACACAGAACAATTCTTACGAGCCTTATACTTAAATTCAATCAAATTAATACTTATCAAATACTGAAAACTAAATTACTTCGGAAGCAAAAATGAAACACAAGACTTTAATATTTCTTCATTATTAAAAGGGAATGCATACAAAGATCTTTTCTGAAGTCATGCCCCGCCCTCCTCAGGCAGGCAGGAAGAGATGTGGAGGAGAAACGCCTCCATGTGAGGATGAGAGAGAAAACAAGCTCGTGCTTACCACTGGAAGCTGGAGGAAGTTCTCCAATGACTGTTTTAAGGCCAATACTCGAAATATCCCGAAGCTGTTCTTTATCAGAGAGCATGTTAGTGCACAAGGTATCTACAATTGTTTCTACTTGGTACTCCTTCACTTTACTCACGAGAGGGCCAAGACTGCAAAAATACAAAATGAAACAAGGTATAAATAAAGAAAAATACGCAGAAACATTAACTTTTCACCCCCAGAAAGGGCCTGTGTGAAAATAAGTCTGTATCACAAACACTGAATCAATAAACAATATAAGCAAAATGTTCAATTGGTGCATATCCTTGCATTTGGTTTCCAGTGTTTTCCCACTGACTTCCAGTAGAACAAGCTAGAGGTACTGAGATGCCCTTCCTTTGTATTCTTCCCTATAATTTAGCAGGGTACGTACTATATGCTGTGTGGATAGTCATTCAGGAACCATGCTATTCAAGACTCCACTGAATAGAGTTATACTTATACCTATTGCTGGTGGGAATGCAGTGGCACAATTACACTGGGAAAGATTTGGCAGTTCCTCCAAAAGTTGAACATAGAACATATATTAATCTCAAACCTTGGTATATTCAGAAATGCAAACAGATCTGTAAATCAACATTCACTGTAGCACTTTTCATTAATAGCCAAAATATAGAAACAATGGATAAACATGATATTGCATATACCCACAATGGGCTGCTACTCAGCCACAAAGAGAAATGGTGTCCTGATGAATGCCACTAAATAAATGGACATGCCTTGAAAACATGTCAAATGAAATACATTGGAAAAAAAGAAAATCACAAATACTGTACAATCTCACTTATATAAATGACCTTTTCACAAGGGTCGCCCGATTCATAACAGTAGCAAAATTACAGTTATGAAGTAGCAAGAAAAATAATTTTATGGTTGGGGGGGGTCACAACGTGAGGAACTGTATTCAAGGGTCGCGGCATTAGGAAGGCTGAGAGCCACTGTCTTAGAGGGTGCTGAGTTTGTTAACGGTTTGAAATAATTTGTAAAAGGATAGGGAGAATGGTTGCAAAGCTTAAAGAATGTGATCACTGAAGTATGCAAGTAGAATTTGTTGGGATGGCATACAATCTGTTATGTCTTCACAATACAAAACTTAAGACAACATGGCTCTTCTACCCAAGTCTTTAACTCCCACCAGGTAATTGGTGGGAGTATGCAAATAGGGCATGTGTAATACTGAGACGGGGGGATTGCACAATTTTCATCACCCCTCCTGTGACCCTCACCCCTAAAAAGATAAGGCTTTCTTTGAAGCAAGGGTAGAGAAAAGTGAACACCCTCCCCCCCTGTCCCACCCCTACCCCCAGGATGACCTTGGAAGAGCACATTCAAGATCTTCGTCCGTCTGAAGTGGTGGAGAGGACTGTGACCAGATGCATCAGAGACTATAGGGTTCCTGCTCCTTACCTCAAACTACTACGGACTGTGGGACAGTGTGATACATGGGCTGGCTTCCTGGCCCACACAGGAAAAGACCAAGGGATCACTTAGCTGACCCAGTAGCGAAGAGACTTAGCTACCACGTGGGTGAGATCATGAGAATTGGATACAGACTTGGCCGCTGGCTGAGAAGACCAATGACTACATCCTTATCATCTGCTCTTCGCGATCCTGACTTGTGCTAACTTATTAACTCCACTGATAAACCCCTGTAACTCTGACTACTGCCTGTGAGTTCTGTGTGGCCACTTCAACAAATTATCAAATCTAGCATAGAGGCAGAGTGGTGTGGGAGGAATGATTGGTGTCAGAACAGGTAGACAAAGAGGGAGTGTGGAGGCATGTCTGACCCCCGCCGTGTGACACCAGGGAAGCTAGAGAAGGTCTGGCTGGTATGGTCTTCCACTGTCATTCACAGCAGTCAGAAACTCAAACTATAAAGACAGTTTAAATAAAAATTAAAATAAACCTAATGATTGCTTTTAAATAAGATATTGCACATAACAGACTTTAAGGTAGAGCTTTGATGGGATCCTATCAGACAGAAGAGTATTTAAATAGTTAAGACAAATTTTTGGAATTAGAGACTAGAATGAGTGCAATGCACAGTGAAAGAAATGAGTAAAAATAATTGCTTGACTCAAAGGGCAAATTAAAAATACAACAGGGAAGGTAGACTACTAAATTTAAATGTGATGAGGCAAAACTGGTTGGCCTGAGCTTTCTCAAACACTAATAATGCAAAGAAAAAAGTTCAAATTGCTAAATGTTCACAAATCAGTATCTACTAGATAGATGCTTGATTACTAAACAAAAGTTCCCTGACTACTGTTGACAGTGAATTTTAAAAAATTGGAGTAACTCAAGAACCGCCTAACCCAGTGATGACAGCGAAGGTGCAGAAATGGTGTTAGGACACGTGGAGAGACAATGGGAAACTCTGGAAATGGCAACTAAAAATCAGAGATTCCAACAATTGATTTGAAAAGTTCTAGTGCCCAGTAATGGCACAGAAAACTCTGTCTAAACACTAAGTAAATAAAAACCACTTGAATGCCAGAATACAAGAGAACAAAAGTAGATTAAAAAAAAAGCAAGCAGGCATCCAAATGAGATGTCAACTACTTAAGTCCACATGGAAGAAGCACACCATCATCAGTCACTCAAGGATGGGAATACACATAACCCAAAGTTGAAGGAGGGACCAGTATCAGAGCCTAAATTGTGAGAATCTGGAGTGCTGGCAATAGGTGGCAATCGGAGCTCAAGATTCATTTGTGAAACGACATAGCTGAAATAAGTCCCCGGAGAACACCCCTTATCTGAAATTGAGGGAAGGGAGGAAAGTGGTCCCTAGAGTGCTTGGGAGAGAGGAGCCCAGAAGATCAAAGGCATAAATCTGACTTGAAGTTAAAATGTTGTCAGTAAAGCCCCCCCCCCACCCCCCACGATGCAGGCTGGACCTGGTCTGGTTTCCAAAAATTTTTGTATTGTTTTCTTCAGTTTCTGTTTGTTCAGATAAGAGTGTATCTCGAAGGTGTTATGTCAATGGAGGTCACCCTCTTGAAGCCGTGTTACATGCGGTTTTTCAGTATATGAAACCTAGGACTAACGAACCTAGCGTGACAGCAAGGTAGAATAAAGGCTTAGCGGGGTGCAGTGGTGAAGGTGGGGTAAAATGGAGACGATATCAAGGGGCCCATGTACAAAGGGAATGATTGGAAACTGATTGTGGTAGTAATTGAACAATTCTACTTGACAGGATTGAAATTTGGAATGATCTCTGTATTACATCCCAACTTATAATAAAAAAAAATGGGGGGGGGGATCTACCCAGAATTCATGCCCAGAAAATCAACCTTTTAATAATGAAGTCAATTTAATGTTAAAAAAAAAAAAAAAACACGAGAAAATACATCACCACCAGACCTATACTTCAAAAATGCCAAAGAAATTCTTCAGGTTGAAGAAAAAGTTCACCACATAGAAACTCAGATCTATAGAAAGGAATGAAAATCACCACAAATGAGAAGTCTGCTAATAAATAAAATGCTACCTTAAAAGATTGTATTTTTCCTTAAAAATTTATCAATACTACAATGTGGAAACACAAACAAATTCATTACATACCATAACACAAGCAACAAGTATGTAAATGGAACCACACTACTAGCACGGTTTATATAACATAGCAAATGGTAAAGTTAATAAAAACGAAGGTGAAAAATTCAAGGTGCAATTTTTATTTGTCAGTGGAATCTAACAAAACTAAAAAAGCTCATTCATTACATGTGAACAAAGCATTTTTATAATATATTCCCCAATTTATTTTAAAGCAACACTAATAACATTTACATTTGTTGTGACTGTAATGTTTAGGCTTAAAAAGAAAATACCTAGCTTCTTCTCCTATCTGCTTTTGTGTTCTGCCCGCTCTGCTAAATTACATGTCAGATGGCCTCTGGAAAATCCTATTGTATACTTATGAGACTGTACTCGTCAATCGGAAAAAAAAAAATCTCAGTATTATTTGTGAAAGTTTTAGGTCTGACTTCTTGCTAATTTTTAAAGTTCAGTTGTCTTTTTATTATCAAGTTCTAAGAATGAAATAAAAACTCACTGCCATCAAGTTGATTCCAACTCAGTGACCCTCCAGGACAGGGTAGAACTGACCCCGTGGGTTTCTAGGCTAACTTTTTATACCACTGGCTTTACAAGGGGTACCGAAAAGAAGGAATTGCACTGGGCAGAGCACAACTTTCTTTCGTAGGATGCATTTTTCCCCACTAGGCAGGCATCTAGCAACTTGCTGAGTTAAAGCACCCAGTGGTACTGCCTGGGAAGGTTCTTTCTGGTCACAGTGAATTTTTTCATAAAAGCAGTTATGCTCCAATGGTCAATTTAAGAAAACAGTATGCAGCTGTGAAATTTGGTATCCTGCTCAAGGGAAAAATACTGCAGAAGGTGTTGTGATGTTTAACTAAGCTTAAAAGTACAGCGTTATAGGAAAAACTCAGGTGTACACGTGGTTTTCTCGTTTCAAAAAATATGAAATGTTCATTGATGACAAACCTCCTTCTGAACATCCGTCAACTTCTATAACACATGAAAATGTCGACCTGCAGGGTATTTGGAGTCCGTTCCACCAGGTCAGACTGTTAATCAAGCTTTCTATGCAGAGATTCTGAAAAGTTAGTTTCTAACAGTGTGCGACACAAAAGGCCTGATTTGTGGCAGACCAGGACTGGTGTTGCCCCCAGGACAATGCACCTGCTCACACAGCCATCTCAGTGCGCCAGTTTGGGGCAAAAAAACTTGCCCCACACACTTTACTCACCTGACCCTGGCTCT